TGAAATGATCTTACTGGAGACAGTAGGCTCAAGTCACATTATCAGATAGATTGTTATCATAGAAACCATGATCATACAGTGAATTTCTTAAACTATTGCTGTCTGTAAAGATGGAAGTGACTAATAAAGCCCATGTGCAACCACCGTCTACGTGAGTAAAAAAAAAAAAAAACCTGTTATGCAGCTTTGATGGAAACATTTGAATCACAGTAATATTTATATCTTTTAAAAATTTTAAGAAATGCAAAGAGATTCTTCTTTCAATGTTTTGTTCAGTAGAAACAAAGCTAAAGGGCTAAAAAGGGGAAATGATATAGTGTCAGAAGGGAGGCTGAATTTTGTTAGCCAACTACCAAAGTTGCAGGGGACTATACAAAATTAACTCTTGCTTTATCCTCCAGGTTTATGGAAGCATTTTAACAAATAGTGGAAACTGTTTAAAATTCTCTTATTTTATTCACTAAAGAGTTTTGCTAGAATAACTTACAAAGAAGAGAGATTCAAGAGAGTCTGAAAGCCGGGAGACACAAGACATTATGTTTTGTGTTTTAAGAATTTTCAAAACAGGAGAGACCAGCTGAGTGGTTGTGCATGTGTATAATCTCATTGACCCAGGAGGCTGAGATGGGAGGATGCAGGATCACAAGTTCAAGGACAACATAAGCAACTTACTGAGGCCCTGAGAAACTTAGTGAGATCCTGTCTCAAAAAATAAAAAGGATTGGGGATGTGGCTCAGTGGTAAAGCACCCCTGGGTTAAATCCCCAGAAAAACCCACAAATTATCATTCATTCTAAGAGTAAGGTTTTTAACCTATAACTCAATCAATGAATTTAGATTTTATTTATTTATTTAGTCTTTTTAAATTTTTTTTTTTTAGTTTGTTAGAGACCTTTATTTTCTTTACTTATATGCGGTGCTGAGAACTGAATCCAGTGCCTCACACATGCCAGGCAAGTGCATACTGATGAGCCCCAGCCCCAGCCCATATTAATTTAGTCTTATAGTGCTGGGGATTGCACCCAGGACCAGGTGCATGTTGGGCGAGTGCTCTACCCCTGAGCTACAACCCCAGCCCTTAGATTTTACTCTGATATACAGTATAAATATAAACTTAATTAATTCTTTTTTTTTTCCAAAATGGCTAATTATCCTGGCATGCTACTAGATAATCTTTCCTTTTCCCACTAAGTTGTTATGTATTTTTTTTAAATCATCATTATTACTATGGTGCTGGGATTTGAAACCATAGGTGCTTAATCACTGATTCATATCCCCAGACCTTTTTATCTTTTTATTTTTGAGACAGGGTCTCGCCACGTTTCTTAGGGCCTCACTAAGTTGCCGAGGCCGGCTTTGAACCTGTGAACATCCTGCCTCAGCCTCCAGAGTTGCTGGGATTATAACCATGTGCCACCACACCTGCCACCACACCTGGCTCATTATTATTTTTGACCAAATATAATCGAGTCTTTATTTCAAAGTATCAATTTTACATTTATCTGTTTCTTTGCTCCAGGATGATTTTTGAAAAGATAAATTGAATATAACACAATTTGCTTATCAAGATACCCCTTAAGTTTTGCTGCTGTGTGTTTAGGGAGAAAGTGTCAAAATGTCTATGATATCTGCAACTGACTTTCAATTGGTTCTACAAAAGAGAAAGAAGGTGAACAGCAAAATGTTAATATGGTAAATCTAGTGTTCATCCTTCTAGTTTTTTAACTTTTAAGTACGTTTGAAAAGGCTTTTTGGAGGATGAATTTTTTTACACTTTTCCTTAATGAAAATTTAAAAGCAAGTATTACTTCCATGTAATAAAGTAAGTTTGTAATTTTACAGAATAGAAGTGTAGGACATTAAACGCAATACATTTCAGGGCTAAGGTTGTGGCTCAATGGTAGAGCGCTTGCCTACCACACATGAGGCAGTGGGTTCTATCCTAAGCACCACATAAAAATAAATAAATAAAATAAAGGTATTGTGTGCATCTACAACTAAATAATTTTAAAAAAGCAGTACATTTCAAGTGAGGTTTGAGATTTGGTTTAATGTTTAAGACAAAAAATTGGTATCAGATTTTTTTGTTGTATCATTTTCTAAAAGATTTGGGCTAGGAGTGATCTAGTGTACTATGATCAATAGTAGAGAGTTTGCCTAACATGTGTGAAGCTCTGGAATCAATCTCCAGCAAAACACACACACATACACACACACACACACCACACACACACACACACCACACACACACACACACACACACACACGATATTGGTTTTGTTTTGTTTTAACAGGCCCCATGAGAGATAGGTTAATGATAATCAGAAGCAGATCTGACTTAATAATTTCCCTTGTCACTCATTTTTGGGGACCTTTGTAAGATAAGAACTATTTAAAACTAATATTTGATTTCTCAATTCTAAAAGTTATACGTTGTTATAGTAAGGTGAAGTCCAGATTTAGTGTGTACATAGTAATACTTTGAAACCTTTAAAATAAATTTATGCTGAATTTTAATATAAAAATAATACAAACTCAATTATTTTTGAATTATGTAACAATAAATAAGTAGCATGTTGCCCAGTGCTTTGTTAGCATTTCCTATGACTCCTTAAAGTATAAAATATTATCCTAACCACTTTTGTGTGCTATGGCAATTGACACCTTTCATACATGACTATTAATATTATTCCCCTTTGAAATTCAGATTCATTGATCCACAAACTCTAATCTTTTTTCAACCTTCTTTAATAAAATATTTGTTTTTATAGTTTATCCCAGCAACCACAATTCCTCTGTCCTCACACAAAAGTGATTTGGATTTTTTGTCCTATATTAATAATTGAGGTGCTGAAAAGTTCTGGAACCCTAACATTACTACTTAACTTCACACCTCGTGAGTATTGGTGTGTGTTTCTGAAATCCTTTAATATTCTCAATTTTGAACTTTTGTTTTGAACTTTGAGCCTTTGGGTAGAGCCTTTAGTTTTAGTTCATTTTCAGTAACTCTTCCATTTTTATATAACAATTTAAAAACAGAATTTATGACTAATGTTGAATCTAACATTTAGAAATAGCAACAGACAGCATCTGGCTTCTGAGGGTTGTCATACCACAACCTAACTTGACTTTTTGTTCACTATGGTCCACCCTCTGTACTGTTGACCCTGACATTGTTGCCAACACACAAATCTGATTTGTAATTCTTCCATGCCTCCCAACCACCACCTAAAGGTAAAACCAAAATTCCTTAGAGGCAAAAAAAAAAAAAAAAAGAAAGAAACTTCTATCATACTGGCCTCATCATTCTCATTTACACCCCTCTCAAAATGAACACAGACACTGGAACCACACAGAGGTATCTGCCAATCTCAACAATTATTTTCCCTGCCAATGCTTTTGCACTGGCCTGTCATCTCCATTTAGAATGTCCTGTCCTCTCTCCACCTCCTCACTCCAATTCCTTGTATCCTTCAAGAACTAACTCAAAGTTCACCTCCTTAATGACACCTCCTCTTTCAGAGTTCCTGGCAAAATTAGTCACCTCCTCCTCTAGGAACTAGATAATCATAATATAGTGGGACAGAGAGACAAGGAAACAAATTGTCAAGCCTATGATCAAAAACACTAAGAACTCCTCAAGGACAATGACATTGTTGTTTATTCACTTCTGGGTTCCCCACAGAACCTACCAAATCACACAATAAACAAATGTTGAATTTAACTGGTTCATAGGAAAAAAGTTTAAAAATTGCATTTTCACATCTAAAATAGTAATTGTGTTTCTTTGTAAAGCTATCAGTTTATAATTTGATCTTTTAGAAACCCACAAGCTGGACATAGTAGCCTACACCCATCGTCCTAGCCACTCGGAAGCCGGAGGTAGGAGCATTGCAAGTTCAAGGCCAGTCTGGGCAACATAGTAAGACCCTGTCTTCCCACTCCCCAACCCCCCTACCCCACAAAAAAGAAAAGAAATAAAAACCCTCACAAAGTGGTTACTAAACTTTTACAAATAAGTGATATCCCATAATTTTTAATACATTTCAGTTAAATTTATATAGGTTTTTCTGTCTCTTTTTTATTCAAGATGAGTTCTGTGCAGCCCATAGAACCTATGTAAACATATTTGGATAATTTGAAAGTATAATTTCACAGTCAAGCAGGCTCACACCTGTAACCCCAGCAATTGGGGAAGCTGAGGCAGGAGGATCACAAGTTCAAAATCAGCCTGAGCAAAAATTAGGGAGACCCTATTAAAAAAAAAAGTGTGGGAATATGGAGTTGGGGGTGTAGCTCATTGGTAGAGTGTCCCAGGTTTCAATCCCAAGTACCCTCCCACCCAGAAAAAGAAAGTATGTAAATTATAGAAATAATTTGAATGGCTAGCTGAGATACAAACATTAAAGAATAAGATGGTGCTTAAAAGAAAAAAAAAAAAACTTGCCTGAAAGAAACATGATTTTGTGTGTGTGTGTGGAAGCAAAACCATGAAATATTTAATGAGGCATTGCAAAATAAACCACTCCACCCCATCCCCAGGGAGGCAGAGTCAAGGTTCAGACTGAACTTTGTTTAGCAATGCTGGAACCATGTGTTTTAAGAATGAGAGAGGTTTGTCAAGACTTGCTGCCAAGGCACATCACAAGCTCAACATGTGCTTACTGCCTGCTCTCAAAAACCAGTGTCCATGAGCTGGCCAGCTGCTAGCAGTAGGGTACCCTTTGGGTCACATCTTCACTTCCTGAAGGAAGCTCCAGAAACTTTCTCCTGTCTTCTCTGTGTCTTGGATTATTCATCAGTTCTGTTTTATAAAATACCTCATTTTTTTTAAGAGAGAGAGAGAGAGAGAGAGAGAGAGAGAGAAGTTTTTTTTTTTTTTTTTAATATTTATTTTTTAGTTTTCGGCGGACACAACATCTTTGTTTGTATGTGGTGCTGAGGATCGAACCCGGGCCGCACGGATGCCAGGCGAGGGCGCTACCGCTTGAGCCACATCCCCAGCCCCAACACCTCAGTTTTAACAGTAGAGTCATGACAAAAATTTATAAATATGAAAATAAATATAATATTTGTAAACATTAAATGTTCCTAGCTAAACTTTTCATTTTCCAGAAAAACTTCTCATCTCGTGTACTCTGTTTCTGTTTTAATAACCATCTTTGCAAACATCCACCTCAAAAAAGTTGAAGTCTTAGCAGTCATAGCTAACATGTATTATGTGCTTCAATATGCCAGGCGCTATGCTTTCTTTTTTTTTAATCTCCTTTAATCTCACAGGAGTTTCTGGGGGAAAAAAAATGACTTGAACACATTTTCCTGACCTCTACCTTCCCCCACTCCTATTCCTTACTGGAGCAAAATTCAAGGACAAAAAGCAACTAACAAAAACCTCTGGAGTTAATCTGTTCTTCTGAGGACAACTGTGAGTTTTCCAGAGGAGAAAATGGTGTGCGACATGTGAAGTCTGTTGGCTGGGAAAGCTGATTCCTGTCTCAGAAGAAAAGGGATCTACACAGGTAGATGCAGTCATTCTCTTTCCAGGTGTCTGCGGGGGAGGAAGTGTTTCTCTCATACTTGGACAGTCTGAGAACAAAGAAGTTCCTTCTTCCCTCCTTTCAGTGAAGGGGTCTCAATTTGTCAGCTTCTCTGGCTTTGGGCTAGAATATAGTTCTTGAAATATCCTAGGACCAGAAGCAATGACATCAACTGGGAACTCAGAACTTATTAGAAATGCAATTCTCAAGCCTTTCTACAGGCCCTTAAATCAGAAACTGGAAGTGTATCTTAATAATATTTAATAAGAGTGTGGTAAACACTCAAGTTTGAAAACCACTGGGTTATCAGAGGGGAGATCTGTGTGTGTGTGTGTGTGTGTGTGCGCGCGCACGCACAAGCACACCCACACACTACTAGGGATTGAATCCAGTAGTGCTTTACCTCTGAGTTATATCTCCAACCTCCACCCCCTTTTAAAAAAATATTTATTTATTTTAGTTTTAGGTGGACACAATATCTTTATTTTATTTTTATGTGGTGCTGAGGATCAAACCAAGTGCCTCTTGCATGCTAGATGAGTGCTCTACCTCTGAGCTCCAGCCCCAGCCCCAGTCCCATCTCCAACCCCTTTTTATTTTGTATTTTGAGACAGGGTCTCCCTAAGTTCCCCAGGCTGTCCTCCTGCCTCAGCCCTCGGCCACTCATTCCTAGTCATTTCGATTACAGGTTGTGCTACCACACCCAGCTTGAGTAGACAGTTTAATTTCTTCCATTTGTCTGGTTTATCAGTGTTAGAGAAACCAGACCTCCTAGCCTCTAAAAATGTTGATGAACTCATAACATTAGTAAAGCACAGGAAATTATAATACATATGAGTTTATTAATTTGACGGAGATTTGCCAACTGATCAATTGGAAAGGAGCAGAAAAATAGTCAAATATTATAACTTCAATAATAATAACAACTTTCTTAGTGCTCCTGATAAAAATTGAGGCTTATAAAGGTTAAATAATTTGTTCAACGTCACACCACCCAATAAGTAACAGAATCAAAATTTGAATCCAGGGCTGTCTGATTTGATTCTAAGTCCTCTCTCTCTCCCTTACCCTCCATTTCCTAATTGAGTATACTTCAACTGTTTCTATAGAATCTTTTTTCTTTAAACTTTGTTTTAAATTGTGATAAAGCATTGCAGAGGATACATAAGAAAAATGAATGTGTGTATTTATTTGTATATTTTATACATATACATATATACATTTACATATACCTATCAAGAGAGATAAAAATTTATGTTTATATGTATTTCATTAAGTCGCCAACACCTATAAAATAATCACCATCACACAGAACAAAAATAGAACATTGCAGCAAGCCACTAAATGCCTCTTTATTCCTCCTGAAGGTCACCATAAACTTGACTGTTTTATAATTGTTTCCTGCTTTTCCTTATTAAATCACCTCTATAATTATTTTCAAAATAACATAATTAGTTGTTCTGTTTCCCTCTTTTAAACTTTATGTGAAAGAAATAATACTGTGTATATTTTCTTTGGCCCTACTTCTCTTGCATAACTTTATGTTTGTGACATTCATCCATGTTAAATGTAGCCATGGTTCGTTTCCATTGGTATATAGTGTTTTATTGAATGAATAGTAGACATTTTATTTACCCTGGAATTCTTTTTTTAATTTGTGCTATCACTCTCATAATTCAGACATTCATTAAATGGTTTCTTAGTACTTTAATTTTCTCTGGGGCCCCTAACTATTCTGATCTCTAGGCTCTCCCCTGCTGCTGCCAGAGGAAACTTTCTGAAGGTCAACACTGATCATGTCGATCCTGTTAAAAGGAATTATAGAAGAAGAAGAAAAAAGGCTGAGAGGTAGGCCGTGACCACATTATTCAGGTTATTGAGAACTATTGTAATGATTGCAGTTTTTATTCTAAGGGCTGTTGTTGTGAGCAAGCTATGTATGCTGTTGACATAGACTGGACATGTGTGTTCTCTCCACAATATCATAATTTATTGAATAACAATAAATTCACAAGCTACATCACTTCACCAAGTATTCATGGTTCACTTGGTAGCCATGAGCAGGGTAATCATAGGTTCTTTTATTGCATTCCACTCTTAATGACTAAGGTCTGTAACACTCAAATCACACATCACACTTACCCAATGATATATGGTTACAGAACAGTGAAGAAAGGGTCAAGGTGGCCACAGTGTTTCAAGTGCACTGAGAGCTAAGGCAGACAGCAAGTGTAAATGCAAAAGAGTCACTGCAGGTAGTCAGATAAGATTTTGAACTAGCTAAGAACTTGTTCACAGTGTGGAGTGTTCAGGGCATAGAACTTGTTCCAAGTGAGGGTCCAGGTGACAGGCAGTTTCAAAGTGGACTGCATCAAGCGAGGAGATTGAGCTAAGCCAAAGCCCCAGGGATGAAGTTGGGAATTTGTGGTCTGTTGCTCATGTGAGGAGTTTACTGGATGGTCTAAGATGACAGGTGGTGTGTGCTGCTGTGCCACCATCTTTGGTGCCTCTCCCTTTATGTATCTCAGGTGGGGGGTGTGCATGATTCAGTGGTCTGGTACATTTTAAAAGCTCACAGGCCTGGTTTCTCTGATATGGGTTTGATATCCTTATACATCCATGTGCTTCTAATTTAATTTGTTAAATTCACAGGTGGTCATTTTTTTTTATTAGCATGAATAATTTATCAGTTTGTGCCTTGATAATTGTGCTGTGCACCTGGGGTAGTTGTTATTAATTATTATTATTTTGATAAATTCTGTATGTATAATTTATGGTGGTTATCTATTTGTTCAGACAAGTCCCCAAATTATTCTGCCTTTGCATTTGGTTTCAAAATATAGTAACTCAGGACTAGGCACTGCTGTTCTATATAACGTGGAGTAACTCAGAGCTGGGCACAGCTCTCCACAAAATAATGAAAAGCTCTTTATGGCTGATAGCTTTGGCTTTTTTCTAAGTTTGGAGGACTCCTGCTTTAGAGTCCCCAAACCATCCAATCCGACTCTTTTGATAATTATGCCTATAAGAATCCAACCAAGTTTTCTAGGCCCTTGTTATGCTCTGGCCCACAGTCCCTTGGGATTATAACTGAACACAACGGGTTCACCCCCAGATGAGTACAAAGCCAATAAGCACAACCAAGAGATAAAAGAATGAAAAGAAGTTTATCACTTGCACCCATAAAGGAGAGCATTGAGGATAATTTCCAAAGCAGTGTCTCTCCCAGAACAACAACAACAAAGCAAGAGGCTTTTTGGGGGAAAATGCATGTATATTGATTTTGGAAAGTCTTATCATCATGTGTGGAGATGGACACATTCCTGAGCACGTTGAATTCAAGGTCATACTTCTTCATACGACACATGTTGAAAATGGTGGGCAGGAACAGACCCTGGGTAGGCAATTTAGCATTGCAATGAGACTATAGTGAGCAAAGTTTAGGTCATGGAGAAGAGTGTGGGTCAGAGTAACATGTGGCTTGTTCCTTGTGGTCTTCTCTGGAGGGCCTTACCGGAAACAACATGAAGAAATGTTAACAGTCACTTAAAATGACAGCAGTTTTCTCTTCACCTTCCACCCCACAAGTGTAGGAATTTGCTCCTAAAACGTCCTGCTCAGCAGCTAACAGAATCCCGTCAGCTGCTGGTTAAGTTCTCTCAGGCCTGGCCCCACTTTTTGCCAATTCTCTTTCATTTCTTTGTAATCAACTGTTAAGTGATGAGCATATCTCATAGGAGGGGCTTATAAGCTAGTGCCCTTATGGATGAAATGCCAAGACTATTGATAGTATAACAATCAATTATACTAAAAATGGCAAGTGAAACAAAAAATGAACTAATGAACAGAGAATCCTAAGATTTAGTTCAAAATATCACCCGAGTGCTTAGGATTCAGGACTTTCAAGTGTCTTGACAAACACCTCTGATTCATACCACCATTAAGAGTAACGAGAATCACATGATGTGAAAACGAGAGCTATAGACATAAAACACACACTATCATTTTAGTGTAGGGGTTGCTGAAATTTTTCTGTAACAGGCCGGAAAGTGAATCTTTTCACCTTTGCAAGGCATAGCATCTCTTCCAACTTCTCTTGCTTTGCAAGGTGAAAAAAGTCATAATTGGGCTTGGCAGTGGTTACATAAAATTGTATTGGTGGCCAAGATTTGGGCAGAGCCTGTAGTTTCTCAACCCCTGCCTTCATATCCAGTTTCACCTCTTGCTACTATTAGTTGTTTGGGTTTTTTCATCCATATTTTTTATTAATATCTAATTTACATTCAATAAATGCAGCAGCTCTTAAATACAGTATTTGATGAGTTTTTGACAAGCCATTAACCTGTATGATCAGCATCCTTGTCAAGATTTAGAACATTCCTACTGCCCCAGGAAGTGCCTTCTAGTCCATCACCTCTCTGCCCCCAGAGCTTAACCACTGCTCTGATGTTTATGCCCACAGATTTCAATATGCCTATTCTTTTTTTTTTTAAAGAGAGAGTATGAGAGAGAAAGAGAGAGAATTTTTTTAATATTTATTTTTTTTTAGTTTTCAGCGGACACAACATCTTTGTTTGTATGTGGTGCTGAGGATCGAACCCGGGCCGCAAGCATGCCAGGTGAGCACGCTACCGCTTGAGCCACATCCCCAGCCCTCAATATGCCTATTCTTAAGCTTCATTTAAATAAAATTACACACTGTCTACATCTCTAAATATGTCTTTCACTTTTTGTAGATATGTTTCATCCTCAGTCTTTGAATGCCTGTTCAATGTCCGCTCATTTGTGAGAGTCACCCATGTTATTGAGGATACCAGTATTTTGTGACAAGTTTACTCTTTATTGCTGGGCAGTATTTCATCGTATGAATGTGCCACTGTTTTATGAATACATCTATATAAGTTTCCTAGGGCTACCTTAACAAATTACCACAAGTCTGGTGACTTAAAATGACATCTCACATTTCTGGAAGTCAGAAGCCTAAAATCAAGGTGTTGGCCAGGCTGTACTCCCTCTGAAGAGCCTGGGGGAGAATCTTTCCTGATTTCTTCCAGCTTTGGGTGGTTTCAGATGTTCCTCAGCGGTGGTAGAATAACTCCATTCATTCTCTGTCTTCTCACAGCCTGCCTCTTCATGTCTCTGTCTGTCCTCTCCTCTTCTACAGACAGTGTCAGGGGACTTAGCACCCATCCTATTCAAGGATGATCCCATCTCAAGATTCTTAATTGTATCTACAAAGATCCTTTCCCCAAATAAGGTCACATTCACAGGTTCCAGATGGACACGTCTTTAGCGAGCCACCATTCAACCCACTGTAGAATCACAGTTTATCAAGTCACCTAATGATATCATCTAAACTATGTCTTTTTTTTCCTTTTCTTTTTCTATTTTTAATAAAGCTGCTCTGAATATTCTATACAAGGCTTTTTGTAGATACATTTTCAGTCTTACGGTCTTTGATTGCCAGTTCTAATTATTTTTTTATATAAAATGTGATTTTCTTTTTAGTAATAATTATTCATAATAATGTTTTTCATTTTGGCAGGAGTTTCTGTAAGAATTTATCAGTCTGCATACATCTGTCTTCAATATTTTGTATAAGTTGAAAACACAATAATGTCAAGAGATAGGATATGGAATTATACTAAGTTTCTTCATTTTTGTTTCTTAAGATACTATTAAGAAACAAACAAGTTTCAGCTTTGCTTTTATTTAGCTTCTTAATGTAACAATGCCTGATTAAAGTGAAAACAAAACCAAAAACAAAACAAAGCTTGTTCTCATACTGTCATTCCTTTCATTTTGTTACTTGATGAGCGCTTGCAATCGTTACCTCTAATAAATTTGATATATTTATCTTAGTTGAGAATGACTGACACTGACCATTCCACTGGCATGAAATTAAATGCAGCTCTTTAATTAAAAAAAAAAAAGCCATCCATCTGGGTTATACTCCCACCCTTCTATTCTGATAGACCCAGCTTTAACAGAACTGCTGGGATTTGGGTTGGATGGAGGCTTTTGCCTGTCAGGCTGCCCCTCTACATTGAAAACTTCATAGAGGGCAGGGCCTCCCTCATGCCTCTGTGTATCTTCTAACTCCAGTCGCAGCCCTGTGCTTTCTTAACCTTCCAAGAGTTTCCTGAAAAAATAGTGCTGTGGGAAAAAAAGAAGGAAGGGAGTACCTTCTTTGTAGTAGAGCAATTCTACTAATGCAGAACAGCTCCAGCTAATAATAAATGGTTCCTTTTTAAATCTGTTGGAAAGTCTCCAGGACAATTATTTATTACACAGGTGGTTTCTTATTGAATTTGCTTCCTTTATTCAAAAATTCTAGGAACTGATGATTGGGTACACTACTCACTTACGAAAGCAATTTAAAATACTACCCATGTCCTGTTGGCACTTGACAAGTAAAACAGAGAAAATCAGAGAGTTCTCATTATACTTTTTGATAGCTGCAAGAAACAGTCCTATGAGTGGTTTGGAGGTTTTTTTAAACAGGTACAGAATAATAGGCTTTATCATACTACCCTAGTCTTTTGCAATGTTTGTAAATCAAAAATCTTACTTTATCTTTTTGAAAAGTGTAGCTCTGGGGTTGTGGCTCAGTGGGTACAGCGCTTGCCTAGCATGTGTGAGACTCTGGGTTAAATTCTCAGCACAACATATAAATAAATAAAATAAAGGTCTAATGACAACTAAAAAAAAATTATTAAAAGAAAAAAATTTTAAAAAGAAGTGTAGCTCCAACTTTACTCTTGGAATAGAATTACCTTGAAACATTTGGGCTAATGACTGGAATTTTACTAATCCTAATTTCCATTGTAACTTTATTCTGTTCCTTT